GTAATTGGACCACAGTGTTGACATTTTGCTTGGTTACAGATATTTTTTTGTGGGAATCCATAATGTTACTAGGTAGGCCGTAGGTCAGTTGTCATTGGAATGATCCTTTAGTTCTTCTTTCTTGGCCACCTAACTGTAAACAAACTTACTACTACTTTGCAAGCAGAGTACTTCTACATATATTGTTATATGCAGAGCAGAAAACTTACCTGTTTTTTCTACCTTTTTGATGAACCAGCCTGTAATATATATGAAAGGTTTGAATTAGTTGTGTCTAATGTAACAGTTAATTATGACTAAATATTTCATTATTTTTGTCAGCAATAAGTAACATGTTTTTAAAAGGAATTACTAATGTTTCTTATACTTACCATGAGAATTTAAATGAACATCAAAGTTTGAACGTTTAAGAATAATTTTCCCACACTGGGCGCAATGCCAATGACTTCTTATTGAATCCTTAACCTCTGCACACCTGCATGGTATTGTGAATCTGTCTGAATAGAAAATATATTTTAGTATTTATAGGCTATTAGACTATTATATGAGAGGTCTTATAGGCCAATATTCAAACTTCTCCTATCCTATTCTCTTACACTTATTATCAAGCCTCTCACACACACTACCAAAACTCTTATGAAATCTCCTACATACAACATTAAATGCACTTCACACACTCAAGTTGAACTCTGTTTTAGTGAGTGTGAGAGAGTTTGGTAGTTTGTGTGACAGTGCATGGTTAGCATGTCAGAGAGAATAGTGTGTGTGAGACTTTGATAGTGTGAGATGGTTTTATAATTGTGGTTTCTGATTGGCTTACACAGAAAATTTGCAGACAACTTCATGACCACAATGGGACTATTCATCCACCATGCAGCAGTCTGAAGAAGTAAGGGACTGACCAGTACTAGTGTAACTGAAGCATTTGTCATCTTTCTTCTTCAGACTGTGGCGATGGATAAAAGTAAAGAAGTTGTCCTTTTTTTGGTCTTTTTTGTCTACAACTTCTCTAAGCTTTTCTAAGCTCTTTTACACTCTATTATACACTAAACACACTATCGCTGTCCTAATCCCAATAACAGAATCAATTATCAGTGTCAGAGAGTTTGGTAGTGTGTGTACAAGTTTTGGTGATGTGTGTGAGAGTGTATAATAGTGAAGGTGGGAGAGTGTGTTAATGAATGTAAGAGGTTTTATAGTGTACATGACAGCTAATTATGTTTGAATGTTAGTTTAAAGGGCCTCACATATTCATTTGGAATTATGAACATTGACTTGCCGAGTCAATAGTAATGTAACCTCTGATTTTGATAACATTTTATTTTGAGTTGTCCTTTGTAGATGATTAAAAGAGTGTCGGTAACATATTCACAATATTTCAGTGAAGGAGCAGTATCCTAATCCTAATCCTAACCCTAACCTGAAGCTCAACCCAAAACCTTAAAACCCTCACCCTGGCCCTAATCCTAACTCTAAGATCAACCCAAAGCTAATCTAGTTAAGCTTCAGTTAAAGAATGGTGTCAGCAGTGTGTCTATAACTGCTTGTTGAGGATGTTGAGATGGTCTGTATTAGATCTGTTCATGTTCAGTGAGTTTTCAGATTAACGGTTTAATCTACAGATATAAACTTGGTCACTTAAAGTGAGAAACAACTGAATTTGACAGATTAAAAAAAATTCTTTATGCAGTTAATTAAAATGTCAATAATGTACTAAAAGTATTCAGATGATTCACTGCTGCTACATCATTGATATCATGTTGATGTTATTGAGAGTCCGTTGAGTATTTAATCTGAAAAGGACCACTCAGAATAAAGTGTTACCTTACTTTTATTAGCACATAAAATCAAATTTAGATAAAGGAAAATATGAAACGTAAAACCCTTTACATTTTTGGGGATCCTCTCTAATGTAACTCTCATAGCAAACAATATAAAGGCACATATTACAAAACTTGAAAAAAATGCTTACCTTCATTTTTATCTGCATAATATATGGCAAATCTCAAATGTTTAGATGACAGATGTCTTTCCAAGCAGATTGTGATCTTCTTGCAGTAGGGAGCAGTAGCTTTTTTTTCAGTCCTGTCACTGATGCAAATTCGGTACTTTTGCCTGTTTAATCATTGTCAGTATAGTCTACTAATTATACACACGTTACATAAAAATAAAAATATAGTCTAACAGGCTGAATGGATTAGCTACGTTGGACTATGCCTAATTTACCTGACACGATCACAAAACCAGCATAGCCTGATAAAGTAATACATAATCATGTGTCTCAACTCAGTTTAAACTTGGGTGTAAACCTTTTTATGATTCATTAAACACTTATTAGATATATACATTTACATCAGACATATAGTATGCTAGTGCCTGGTTACTGCTTTATAATGTGACAAATCACTGGGTGTTTGTTGGGGTTGCAGAGCATCATGGCTCTGATGTCATGCAGGATAGTTTATTCACAATAAGTTATAGCTGTAAAGCAATCATTGTCTTTACCAGCAAACAGCATTCAGCAGAATGATACATGGTTTCCCAGAGGGGGATTAAGCGTAGGTCTGGACTGTATTTCCCTTTTAATGGAAAATAGTAGTCTACGACTAGACTTAATCCCTGTACAGGAAACTGGCCCCAACTGTAAGAAAAGCATGCTGTTAGATGAAAAAAAAACACATGGAAGGCTTTTTAATAGATGGTGAACTGTTACACAAAAGCATTTAATATACTTTTCATGTGTTTAAACTTTTGCACACTGCTTTAATCTCCATTTATATGTGGGGGAAAAACAGAGACACATACATACATTCACCTTCTGTAATTGCGTTTAAACCCATATTTCAAATAGTAAAACGTAAACATACTATATATATATATATATATATATATATATATATATATATATATATATACATAGTCTAAAATATAATTGGTACAGCTCTGGCTGACATGGCTTATGAATTTCTGTGTTTCAACCTAAATCTATTGGGACAGCCGCTGTTCCGCTGTGTGTACGGGTACAGAGGCCGCTGTTCCGCTGTGTGTACCAGCACAGAGGCCGCTGTTCTGAGGTGTGTACCAGCACAGAGGCCGCTGTTCCGCTGTGTGCACCGGCGCAGAGGCTGGTGTTCCGCTGTGTGCACCGGCGCAGAGGCCGCTGTTCCGCTGTGTGCACCGGCGCAGAGGTTGGTGTTCCGCTGTGTGCACCGGCGCAGAGGTTGCTGTCCCGTACTTCCGTCATTACTGTGACGGAGCAAAGGGGGACGGCACAGCTACATCTCGGCTACAACCGGCTCTCTTGTTTTGGCCGTAGCATTAGTAACCCCGCCCAAAATGACACGCTACAGCAGAGTCTTGACGTAGCTCGGCTCTACTCTCGCTGTGCATGGTTTCTGAGAAAAGGAGCGCAGCAGCGAAGCCAGACAGCACAAACGGTTCATCACAGCACTGTTCACTTCTTCTCCAAGAGCTTCTCATGGAGCCGGACATCAGAGGTAATATTAGTACAGATTATTAGCGGGATAGTCTTACTTTACAATTGTTTAATATGACCAGAACGGACGAATAGCGACAGACGAAGACGAGTTTGCACCGCAGTTTGTTCTGCAGGTTTAATAAGAAACTTGCAGCCCAGCTTCGGCCTCTCAGTGCGGGACACTGGTTTGACCAGAGTCTGAAAATGTCTGAAGACAGAGCCTGGTGTGGGTCTGAATTAATCTGCAACTGTGTTCTGTGAGTGCTCGTGAAGTGGACGTGACTCGTTAGGTGTGCAGCGGTGTTTACTGGGTTTTGTTCGGGAGCAGTGAGAGATCTCTGTGTGGCTGCGGCTGAATACCCGAATGAAACGGTCTGTTCTGTCTGCTAATGCCTTACACCAAACGACTTTCAAGCGATTTCGCAGACAAATATCCATGTCGGGATAAAATCATGAGAGTCTTGCTAGAGTTGCGTCGCGCTCGAGTCTTCTCGATCGTTTAGTGTAAGGTGGTCAAGATGGTGGTCTTAAGTCAGTCCTTTTCTCGTCTTGACGCTGTGACAAAATCAACCGTGTTTAATAGTATCGTAAGTTTTAAGTCTTGGCTCATGCAAATAGCGACGCGCCAGGTGCGCGCGTGAGTGCTTGAGGGCGAGCGCATGCGCGCGACGCGGTAGAAAGTAACAGAGAGAGAGAGAGAGAGAGAGAGAGAGAGAGAGAGAGAGAGAGAATGTACGTGTGAGTGCCTGAAATCTCTGTAAAAACGGCAAATCTGCTCCACTTTAATACAATAATCATATTAACTTAAAATGTAAACTGACTGCTTTAATATTTCAGGACTTTAAGAATGCCATTATTGAAGAATCATTTCCATTTTTTCCTTATATTTTTATTATTATTTATTTATTTATTTATTTATTTATTTATTTTGCTTTCTGTTACACTGTTTGTTTTTTATGGTTTAGTTCACAATATCCAATCAACAAGGCTGATTCGCTGCATGTTGTGTTGATGTGTAAATCTTTATGTTAAATTAAAAAAGTAACTGCACATTTTACAGGTTAATTAAAAGATTCTGGGTGATGATCTGCCAGAATATACAGTTCTACAGTGAACAGGGCTGAGCCCCAGATCTTTACATGCTCAGCCAATGTATCTTCCCATCTGTACCACTATAGAGTGGAAGGAAAAGGGTTTCTCTGCTTGTATATTTCCACCAGGTGCATGATGGGAAATAATGTCAAAAGTCTAGTTGCAGTCTTGTAAATACTGACACTGCAAGATTTCCTGTCTTTTCAAAATCATAATTTGTGACTAAAAGCTGTGACACTGTCTTTAGACGTGAGAGGGTGTCAGACTTCAGTCTTTCAAAAGTCTTTTCATAATGTGGATCCGCATGTCCTGTCCGTATATTTAGTGAAGCCGTGGGTTACAGAGCACGCACAATAAAGGAGAAAGGGATTCCTTATTCATACAACACTTCAGACGTCTTTACGTACTGTCGTTACATCAAAAGCTCGGTGCTTTTGACGTAGCTTGATGCCCAGAAAGAGGAAATAACCCCGTGTGAACATTTCAGTTCGATCCTGTTTTCTTCAATCCTAAATCCACCCTGCGTTCACTGCTCGCACTGTGTGATTAGCGTCATTATTACACTGGATGGACTTTTTCTGCCGTGTTTGAGGTTAAATGTTCGTCGTGCACCCGAACTGGGCCGCGGTTTCGCTTTCAGTCGGATCGCGGGAGTAAAAGTTTCCTGCGCGCTTAACCAAAACAGCGCCTTCCTCACTGGATACAACCGACTGTTTACCAACACGGCATTTCACAGAGGATTTAAATAACCTGGAGCCCTTTGTGCGGGTCGTTTTATAGGTGAGAAAAGTGCCGTAATCTTTACAGACGTGGGAGCGCGCAGTCCGTCAAAATCTACATTTAGAGCTCTCGCTCTCTGTCTCTCTCTCTCTGTCTCTCTCTCTCTCTCGTACACATTTTCTAACGAAGCTACAACAGTTAAACAGTTAATTACTGTTGCTCTGTGCCAAATTATCTGACTATATTGGCAGACTATTGTGCTTGTTTCAAGCATCTTTTCGTAAAAAGGAAAATTATCTCCCAATGTAGTGAGATACTTTTACTTAATAACATTTCTGTTAAGTAGTAATGAAATATTAGATATAACGCCTAGATTTAAGATGATTTCACTTGCCAAGACATAATAATAATAATAATAATAATAATAATAATAATAATAATGATGATGATGATGATGATGATAATAATAATAATTATTATTATTATTATTATTATTATTATTATTATTACTATTATTATTATTATTATTATTATTATTATTATTATTATTATTATTATGTTGCAGCTGTGGCACTCAGCTAATGTAAAAATATAACTAAAATAAAAAAAATAAACACTAAATCTGCCCCTGTAGTGTTACTGAATACAAACATTTTGAAATGAAAACTTAATTGAGGAATATCACTAATCAGTTGTGTAGCACTCAGCGGTGTAATGGGATATGATTGTTTAGCTGGCTACAGTGTGTTTTATTAGTAGGTTTAAACAGGAATGCTACACACATTGCCAAACACTGCCAGAAGTATCGGGGACTGATGTGTTTTGGTATAACCATGGTGGAAAGATCACACTGGTGTGTATTTCAGTTGTCTAATTATCCTCCCCCTTCCTTTCTTTAACTGCAGATACCTTCACTGCTGGGTTTCAACGCTTTCTCCACGCGGTCTTCCAGCTCGTCACATGCACTGGCTCGGTTGAGTCAGGTAAGGACACAGTTTCCAGGTTTAGAAAACATTTCATGCTGATACAGGCGCCCGGCGTACACTTACTAACATGAGCAAAAGTGTCTGAATGCTTGTTTCAGCTCACTGTATATCGGATTATTCAGCACAGTGACGTTTTATAGGGTTCTTCTTCACTTCCGTGTGAATTTAAAGATCACAGATTGTTTTTATGTTTGAATTACTATTACGTTGTTGAATTTCAGCAAAAGTAAATGTTCAGATGTTTTGCAAAAATGTTTAAAAAATGTAATAACATGCCTTTAAAAATAATGACTGAATAACGCAAATTAGCACTGTTTTTTGCAATACATTAATTTCTTATTTTGTAGTTTACTAATATATATTTATAAAGCATTTAAAATTTGTTTTCCCTTATATAATAGTCTCACTGGTCTATCTTTGGGTCTATTAAGCATGTACTGAATACTATGATTGGTTTTACAGCACTCTTAAGTGTACTGTACTTCATTTTACAATATGTAGCCAGCTACACAGTCATCGTAATCATAGTAATCACAATCATAGTAATTTTACCATAGTGTAGTATACAGCAGCTTGCTAGCTAATTGTTGCCATAAGTTTCTGTTATTTTAGTCTCAGCCTCAGGTACATGGGCAGTCTGATCACAACTTAATGGGACTGTGTAAGTTGAACTCTGACTGGTTTTCCACCTGTGTGTGAATACACTTCCATGCAGCAGCTTTTTATCAGTGCTATGGGGAACAAACTTTAGCAAGTAGTTACTCACTCTGTGTGCAGTGACCAAGCCTTTCAGAACAATATATAGGAGCTAGACTGAAAAAAGGTCATACATTGAATCTTTAGAAATCATCCATTTATGTGTAATTCAGTTGAGATGTAAACAAAGTCATTGTTTGATGTAAAATGGTTTATTGTAAGAAAACATACTGACTGAAATTTCTTTACAGTGGTGGTGATGGGAACCAAGGGTTACTGTGTCTATAATACAAACATAGCCATTTTTTTGCTATCCAAAACCTACATGTGTCTTTAGAGTTTTGTATGTTATGTGATAATGGATTTTTTTTTTAATGGCCAAAACCTGATCTCAAAACTAGCAAAAACAGTCCCTATGGAATTCTAGTATTTTGTTAGTTGAATGAACATTTTTAGCTGCTCTAGATTAAAGACAGACATTTGAAGCTTCTAAAATAGTGTAGCATCAGCACAGAGGAAGACGGAAACAACATTGTGCATTTAGGAAAATGCTCTTATATCTTGAATAACTTCACCAGAGTCAGGGAAATGCCCAGCCTAGCACTAACCCTAACAAGCAATACAAGGATGCGTAACATGGGAGGACCAGATACACAATGAGGGCAGACGAACATACACAAGGCCCCTCCTAGGACACAATTTGCTACAAAAAACCCAACTACTTCACTCATAACAGCGACATCAACAACAAATGTCTCTTTTTACACCTGGAGTGCTCTGCCTCCCGAGAGCCACTTTGCATGGCCACACCCCCTAACCTCTCCACAGCAGCGGCCTTGGCCGACGCCATAATACATTCATACATGTTTTACTTGTGACAGAGTTTGTGACAGACATATTAGCACATAGTCACCTTTAGCTGTTTCACAGTGACTCTCAGAGAGACTGGTGTAGAGCTGCTGATGCTGTTTTCTATTTATAACAACCCACTGCCATTCATATTCACAGTCAGTGGCGTATCTAGGACCTCCAGAAGGCCTGGAGTGATGTTTTCTCTCACAAAATTGGCTCGGCCTGTTGGGAATCAAAACATCTTTGTCACTTTAAAATTATGCTTATGGTTAATCTAAAAGTTTAGGGCTACTCTTCAATGCTTAAAGTTCAAACCAATATGATAGCTCTCTTGAGAGACTACTGTGAGACTAGCTTAACAGTAAACCTTTTGCAGTGTTTGAGAGTTAAAACATTATGAACTTATTAACCAATTAATAATGCTAATTAATGATTCCATTGATCCCTCCCTCTTCGTTTCATACACTAAGCCTCCCATAGACCAATAGGAGAAGTCTATTGAAAGAATACAAATATATTTACATTACAATCAATAGTTAAACTCTGCTGTTCTCTATATGTTAACAGAGGAACCTGTGCCCAGCATTTCTGTAGAGGAAACTTCACCAGCATCTCCTAACTACAGTTCTGTCAGGCCTTGGTTTGGGCAGCAAGAAACAACATGGCATCCAAACGGCATCACTTCACCTTGATGACCTCCAGTGGACTGTGCACCACTTTGCAAACCATGAAGTATTATCCTTTGTTGCCTTAGCTGCAAAGCAAAGCACTTCTGAAATGAGCCATCAAACCACAACACCTCACCATAGCTTACCTATGACTGTTACCAGCTTTAAAACTGAGGACTTCGACTCTTCTCTTTCAGTGATGGAGGTGATAATGGAGATGGTGATGTATGAAGCACTGAAAATCAGTGCTGGTTTCCTGTCACCATCTCACAGTGAGCTTTTTCAGCTCACTATAAGTAAAAAAGTGTTGTCTCCTGTTGTGATTCCATCGTTGCATCATTAGCCGTATGAAGCACAACACTAATGGTGCACAAGCTACTGTGTTGCTGTGTGCCCACCAAAGTTAAATATCCATTTAGTATGTTTTATGTAGACAGTACACTTTTAGACTGGCATAAGTGCCTTTATCTTAAATGATGTGGGGCCTACTAGTTTACGTAGTCATCTCAGGTTTTAGAACATATGTATTGGAGCCAAAGTATGACTCTCAGGACATTGTAACCAAAGATATCTGTAGCTCAGGTAATGGTTTGTGTTTTAGGATTTCTAGGATTTTGCACTTCCAGAGAAAATGAATGTAAAGATAGGGCTGTCAGGCATGGTTTTACAGTGGGACAGTGATTGACATACACAAGATGGAAAAAGATGTAGGCAAGATTCAAGAGCAGAGCAATCAAGTCGGTTTCTTTTTTTTTGCCTAAAGAGCATGCACTGGGTCAGATGAACAACTAGTGATTCAGTGATTATTGGGTCAAGCCATGAATTGCATAGCCATGAAGTTAGTGATGTTATTGTCCTGAATATGCTGCTATATCTGACACTGTAATTTGAATAATAATTTCCAAAAATGAAAAGGAATTGTGCAGAGATATTACTAATTTCTCTTAATTTCTCTTAATAAATGTTGGTGTTATTTTGTCTAGTTATTTTTTTTCGCCCAGTAATATCACTGTCTTCGTTGACCTAAAGTTAGGCTTTATTCCATTTATTTAATGCAAGACCAGTGAAGTTGACTGATGTTCTTTCCCACCCATTCACAGATCTTATAATTAACTTTTCCTTGGCTGCCTTTTCTTAGTAGCACTTTTTTGGACTTTTCATGTTTACAACATGATTTGTACAACTTTTGTAGTTTCAACATTTGTTAATCTTGTCTATTTTTTTTAACCTGATAATAATGTCTGTCTTCTTTCACAGTAGGTTAAGCCGTATTCCATAATACAAGACCAGTGAATGATTTGTACTACGTTTTGTACTTTTTAAATGTGTTTTTACACTATTAGTCTAGTTTTTTAACATCCACAATTTGTGTTACTTTCATAGTTTCAGAAGAACCACAAATGTGTAAATTGATGTGCAATGTTGTGGTACATGGGCCACCTGGTTTATGGAAGAAAGAAAGCACGTGCCATCTAATCAGCATCACCTCACTTTGATGGCCTCTGAACTTTTGCACCATGACACAGACACTTTACAAACTGAATTTTTCTGTGTTACGTTGCTTTTTTTTTCTAGAGCTCCCTGTGAGAATGTTTTACAGCACTGTTGTTTACTTGCTCCAGCATGTTGAGCTTTTTTTTCTCACTATGTTTGCAAAAGGGGACTGTTACTAACACTGGATAGTCATTACACATATAAAAGATTTGATATGGTCAGTCATAATCCTTCTTCTTCTGTCATACTTTGTGCTAACAAGCTGTGCGATATGAAATGATAGCTTTGCCTACAACTGTGTTAAGCTCTCATTTGTTGGATGTCAAACTAGCATACATGGTTTACTGTTACACACACTCACACACACACTTTTTCCAACCCGCTTATCCTTCTGGCCACTGGGCAGAAGGCAGGACACACCCTGGACAGGTTGCCAGTCCATCGCAGGGTAGACAGACTGCATTACTGTTACCATTTTTAGAATTTACTCCAGTTTCCCTTTTTAACAAAGCTTTGCTTTTTCAAGTAATGCATTTCTGTATTTCATTTCATTTGTAGACATGTATTTTTGCCTCTATTTGTATGTGGAAATAAATACCATATGTGTTGAATTTTCATATTTGTTTTGATTGTAATTAAAACTCACATTTTGATTAATTAATCTGTCAAAGTGACTCACTGGCTGCACATTTGACAGGTAGTTACTGTAATTAAGAATTATAGCACACTATAATGTTTTATGTACAGTAATTACATATTGTATGTTGTACTGTATATTGAATGCAGTACAAAACTGTCTCTTTATAAGGCTACATATTGACAGCATTATATTACAGTATCACTGTGATACTGTAATAATCTCATGTGTGAGTATTATTTATGTATAATTATACACCACCTAAAAGGAAAGGTTCTAATTTTACTTGCTCAAATATGCATCTTTTACTTATATATACTGTGGATACTTTTGGATTTCCACTAAAGTACAGGGGTTGAACTGGGCCTCATATCCCACCAATTTTCAGTCATATAATTGTGTATTGAATCCTTTTGCTAATTCATGATGTTTCAAAAAGCTAAACAAATGTGTTCATGATGCCAACATGAAGCCTAAACAATTTGCTGTTGAATCCATAGTAATTCCAAAGCATTTTGTCATTTAGCTATCTAGTCAAGTTTGCATCACCAGAAGGTCTCTAAATCAAACATCTGTTCATACAGCAGTCATGTTTCATGACATTGTTTTTACTATCTTTGACAGCCTTGCGTAACTATGATGTTTGTTCTACTAACTGTTGCTAATAGGCACTCATTTGCACCTGTCTGACTAGCTAATAGTGTTTGCAGTTTAGTTCTGTTAATTAGTTTGTGGTGTTAGGTAGGAAGGCTGGAGTTTACAGGTGAGAACACCTACTTCACTAAACATTTCTTAGAGAGTCGGATAACAGAAGTTAGAGCTGATTGAAAGTGCTGACTTTCAATTCAAGTTGTTTTAATCTATACAGAATAGTGACAGACAGACAAGAAGGTCTCAGGGATTAAGGGAAGGTGTTTTAAGTTTTGAGATGCTAGACAGCATATGTATGATGTACACAGTGACGTCACGCTAAATGATTTGGCTTTTTAAAATTCCTTTTACTCCTTTGCATACTTTCTTTTTTTCCACCTGAACCCACCTTTCACTTTGTGTATTGTGAAACCATTTATACAAGAGCAGAATAACAGTGGGACACAAGCTCAACATTCACATATCAAACAAAATTTCTTTGTGAAGCATCAACAGAAGAAAAAAAGAAAGACAAAAAGGAATACTGTAATGATAACACCATAACCATGGTGGAGTGGATCACAGGTCCCTGAAGCATCACTATGACATCATGGCTTCTAGTCCCCAAAGTGCTCTCAATTTATTAAAGCTTCACATACAAAATATTTACACTCGCCAGAAAAATATTAGATTAAAGAACTAGGCAGTTGAAGAATAACCTCACTGACCCAAAATCAACATATGCCTGCTATTCTATGCTCTTGGAACCAGTCTATTCAAGATGATCTGAGTCTGGGGCTGCAAAGCCTCACAGAACTCTTCCATAACACCAGCTTTCTCTCACCATCCTTCTGTCTTCCCCTTAAGATCTGGGTCATCCCACACCTTCTCCCTGGGTGACAGGAGCAGAGAATAAGACACATGATTACACTGATACAATATTACAGTCATAGTCATTATAATTAGTACATCATTCTAGGCTTCCCTTGGATCACCATGGATCCTTCCAGACCCAGAAAAGAACAGGATCACCTGGGCTCCCACTTATATAGTGCTGTCACATCAGGTAAGTAAACATTCTGTCTTTACAACATCCAGTCTTAACATGTACACTGTTAGAAATAAAGGTACTGTGCAGGTACATTTTTCATTCATCAAGGTACAAACAATGTGAATGTACAGTGGATATAAGGTCTAATTGTGTACCTTACGTTTTTCCCAGGTGGAAAGTACACATTTGTACCTTTTTATAACCTAATGATAATTAATATCCTGGCTACCTGACATCATCACAAATACCATTATGATTCAGATAAAACTAAACAGGTTAAACACAGCAATAGATTTATAAAATCTCCTGTTTTGCTGCAGGTGTAAATGTACACTCTTAAAAAAGATGGTCCTTCAAGGGTTTTTTTTAGTAAATACAATGGTTTTATAGAATCATGAACACTCAAAGATCCACTTGCATGGTAAACTTGTCCATCAGATTGATGGAGAACATATGGTTCTCTATAGAACCTTTTTGACATTTGTTCTATATGGCACCCAAGAGTGTTCTTGCATTGTGGCAAGCTTGTATCAATAGCAGAATCCTTTTTTGGTACTCTATAGAACCATATACAACATATTCTCCATCAATCTGAAGAACAATTTCACCATGCAAAGAACCATATAAGCATGAAATAGTTCTTTAACTTATGATGGTTCCGTATAGAACCATTGTCTTTACTAAAAAACCACTGAAGAACCATAATTTTAAAGAGTGTAGATATGTAATTACACAGATCTGTGTGTACAAAGGTCATATGTGAAGGTGTCTTTCAACCCACAAAGAAGAAAGAAAACACACAACAGAAAAAGAAGAGTTTAGTACAGTTTGTGTAGCACCTGAACCCGTGTGTGTTCTAGCGGCACACCCAAAAAGCGGCTGGTGAGGGAAAATACTATTTTTAGCAGTTCCTGTGAAACAGTCTGAAATCCGAGGAGCTGCCGCGCCCCTCAGCTCTCCCAACCTGCGGCGTGTGAATGTGTTCAGTCGTAGCGGCTTTAGAGATGCACCACTAACTTTACTACCCCACTGTTCATAACGCTTGTCACAGAGCCTGTGTGGGTCGGAGAGTGATCTGTAACAGACTGTTCTGTGCTGTTCTGAGGTTGCTGTTGTGATTCATGAGACACTTTAAGTTTGCAGTAACGTTCATTTGGAACACTCTGCTGTTCGACGTGTTTAAAACTTTAAGAAACCGACTATCGTCACATATTTAAGAGGTTTCGCGAGTTAGAATTATTTAGAGGATTATTTTACGATGGTGTTGACAATCTATGACCAATTAGGATTAACAGTGTGTCCGATATAAACGTTTTGTTGTTGTTTCGTAAATTTGAAAGGGGGTTTTCTGTTTTATTCTTGTAATTTACGGTGTTTTACTACAAAAATTCATTTTGCACACATTATGTTTATTGTTTGTTTTTCTTTGAGGTCTCATTTGAAATATAGAAAAGTGTCCAAATCACCTCCAAAATCACTAAACACTGCATGCATTCTTGTGTGCATAAATCATGGCATCTGTTGCATCTTTTTCTCTGCTTCATTGAGCTGTACACAATAACTGACCAGCTCACTGTCATTTGATTTTCCACAGCTCACTAAAGCCGCAAACAAATGCAATGAAAAAATGAGTACATTTGTCACAGCACATAGCAGATGTTAAAACATTATATGATATTTGCAGAGGGACCCAGTACACTTCATTTTCATTGAAGTGTTTCATTGTTTTCACTGAATCCAAAGTGTTATCTTGTTGAAACATGATAACACAAAAACTATCCAATCAGGATCTTTTTTCTCTGTGGTATACAGACTATTGATTGTTCCACTGATTAGGCTGTTACATTGTCCAGATAGCTGAACTCTCAAATGCACGATGTCCACCTGAATGGATAAATGAATAACTTAAAATATGTATTTAAAATAAAATAAATAAAAACGTTTACAATACATTATTATCAGCATTAAACGATAATAAAAGCATTTATGGGGAAAATCTTGTTTTCATGTATTAAGATAGGTATAAAGTTCATGCACGAAAGAATTAAGGAGAAATTTTCAAATAAACCAAATAAGGAATAGCAGCTACAGCCGTACTATACTATGATGTTTTAACCCTCCATCCTCCAACATCCAGAATTTTTAATGATGCTTTTTTTTGACACAAAACAACATGATCATGTGTTTAGATTTTTGTCATGTTTTAAATAGTAACGGGACTATTTATTAAAGAAATGAAACAAGATTTGAAGGCATAATTGACTTAAGACGTGTTTCTATTTTAAGTGTTTAGTGACACAATAGGTCACAAAGTGCAAGTACACTAGAGCTACAGTATTAAATTAACTTCATGTTTATACGCATAGCATTAGCTTTCGTGTGTGTTGAATATCTGCCATGTTTCTCCTAGAGCGGCCCAGTGATCTGCTCCGGCCCTGAGGACAGACGTGACATGTGGCACGTTACCTGTAGGTTATTATAACGTCCTATAATAAACTTTCAGTTTCGTTTCATTTCATTTTATCTCACAGGCTGTTCTACATGCATACAGACACAATTACTAAACGAAGAGAATATTGACTGTATTAAACAATGAGCCGTTTATATTCGTACACAACATACGTGAGTGGATAAACCAGAGAACGTGTAGTTTATTCCAGGCGTCCATGAGATCAGTTCACTGGTGACAAAGGACCGGGTTTTGCTGAGAGTAGCAGGGCGGAGCCTCATAATCCCAAAGAAGGAATTCAACTGAAATCCACTTAGCCGAATACACAGTCGTCGTTTCCACCTGCTCCGTTTAAGTAGCCACGTTTACATGCAGCCTGATAATCCGTTAATAATCCGAGTAATAGCTCAATCGGAATAGAATATGTCCATGTAAACACCTCAATCGGAATAGTCTAATCCGATTGAGGCCATTCGGAATACAATTTCTATCCGATTAAACGAGGTGGGTAAACTTCTAAATAATCCGTTAAATAGAAGAATAATAGCCATGTAAACGCCTGAATCCGATTACATTCCAATCGGAACGTGTAAGTATGTTCTGCGCATGTGCGTCGCGTCACGGCGAAAGTTTACACCGCGCAACATGGCGGAGCAGAAACTGGTCTGGACCTCACGTGATGTTCGCTGTCATGGTAACGTTTACTCTAAGCGCTACTCCACGCATGCGCGTCATTTTGCATCGGATTACTTGTAGTGAGCATGTAAACGAAGATTTTCCATCAGATTGTTGAATAGAGTGCATATAAACACCTCAGTCTAAATCTGTAATCGGATTGTATTCAATCGGATTGGCAAAAAATCGTTGCATGTAAACATAGCCAATGTGTCGTGGTCGGTCCACGACTCGCATCCCGGACATTCTCGAGCTGCTGTGTTCCTGTGTCTCAGCTTCGAGTCGTGTACGTCAGATTAAGTCAGTTTCAGGTAAAGGTCTTTGTGTGAGTTATGAGGCGCCGCTGCTTTCAGTAAAAGCGGGTCATTTCCTCCACAGGTCAGATATGATCCCAGCGAAGGAATTCATCTGAAATTCACGGACTCGGACACAAAGGAGAACCGGCACCCGGCAACACAGCGGCTCGAGAGGAGAAAAACGGCCGCACGGCAACTCGAGAGGACAGAGAAACGGCCGCACGGGTGTCTCGACTCTGGAGTCGTTCATATCCGGACCGGCTCAGTGAAGAAAATGACAATGGCGGAAACCAAAGACGTTAAACAGCCACTCTACCAAGACGGCGACTGTTTCACTGTCTTTGCTCACTTCACTTCTCATAAACAAAGGAATAGTCAATTAAATGATCCGGTATCTTTGAAAAACACTCCACTGAACTCATTTCAGGAACAGTGTAAAAATCAAACTCGTTTTAGCGACTGCTGTCTGTCGCGATATAATGTGTAGACAACAGGAAGCAGCCAGACAAAACCACACGCGCCATAAGGTTAACAGACCGCACCACCCAATAACATCTGTCTGCACTCCTCTCCAGCAGCACGGTGTTTTTTTCGGCCGCTGTAATTCTCCCTGCAGCCACCTGTTCGCTCATTTCAGATGAAAGTTTTGCCGAGGAGTGTGAGGTGGAGCCTCATATACCTCGGGAAAACTCCCCACTCCCCGGTGGGGGCGGAGCCTCACATACCTCGGGAAAACTCCCCACTCCCCGGTGGGGGCGGAGCCTCATATACCTCGGGAAAACTTCCCGGTGGGGGCGGAGCCTCACTTTCCTCGGGAAAACTTTCATCTGAAATAAGTGAACACAATCCCTGTGCACACTGCATGGAACTCCATTCAGACTTCTCCGCTGTGAGCTGCACTGAGCAGAAACAACCCATCAGCACCAGATCGAGGAGGACACTCCAGGATTGCGCTGCAGGGGAGAAAGCTGGGGTGTAAAGCTGGACTGTGCGGACTGTACTGACATTTCAACCGTTTTATCGTCAGTCTGTTCACGAAGAGCTGCCTATGGAGTCTGACAGCAGAGGTAAGAAGTGACGATTTTTTAGGTATTGATTACTTGCTGGACGGTCTGAATTCAGGTCGTTATTAAATTCTCAGAGCCGGTCGGATACCAATAGACAGATAAAAACGCTGTTGTCCAGAATTTCAGTCCACAGCGTCTGAGTTTATTCTGTCTAGTGGATTTAAAGACGCATCACTAATCTTGATCTGTAACTAACATACTGTTCTAATGCTGTTCAGTGATTCCCCCTGAAATGGAGGAGAAACTTTAAGTTTACCGTGTGTTTATTGCAAACACTGCGGTGTTCGATTATTAGGTACATTAACACACTGATTATTACACATTTAGGATGTTAGGGTTGTCTGACGGTCGTGTTAACTAATGCGTTGATTTGTTAGGGCGTTTAGTTAGCCTAGTTAGTCTCTGTTTCCTCCCGAGGACTCTAACTGTCCAGAGGATTTCTCTGATATGATCATCTTATTACAAAGACCCGTTTTAATATTCTCAGACAGGGTCGGACGAAAACACTGATTTCCAGAATTTCACTCTGCAGAGTGTGAGTACTTGCAGTCGTGCAGTGAAGTGGCTTTCTTTCTTCCTTCCTTTCTTTCCTTTTTCTTTCTCATTTTAACATTTTTATCTTTCATTTATTTTATTTATTCATAATAATCTGTTTATTCTGTGCAAATTGGTTAAAGTAAATACTTGTAATATCATAAACAAAGTCAGTTGTATTTAAAACATTCAAATTTAGATTCATGACTCTCTTGAAATCAGTCTAGTTGGAAGTGCCTGATGAATTCAGTGGGGCAATTTCAGACACACCAATGGACAGAACCGTTTGTAGGTGTTGTGTTTCACGTGCAGTGTGAGCACCCACGTAAGAGAAGTTTTTAACTTCTGCTGAACGTCTGAACGTCTGTCTTCACCTGAAGCAGCTCATTAGACCAGCGCAGGGCTTCACGTAGCAGTTCATCACCTTATGAGAGCCGCTTTAACGGATCTAGTGTCGGCAACATTTTCAACAAAATCATTTTATATTAGGAGAAGTCATTTTTTTCTGAATTAATTAGAACATTTGTTCGTTTATTATTAAAAAAAAAATCATATGCTTAAAAAACGCCGCTCATATCATTTGGCCCATGATAAGTGTTTTGTATTAATTATTATCGTTAAGCATAAGTTATGATAACGGCGGGGACTGTGGGGACGGACCCGAGTCCCGTCACCTGGGCACCGCATTGGGCCCGCATCTGGCGGGGCCAGCTCTCGCGCTCTCTCACACTCTCTCGCGCTCTCTCGCTGTCCAGAATGAAAACGAGCTGACGCTGATTTGGCTTTGGCAGCGTGGGCACCTTTAAAGCGAGCACAGAGGGAACAGAGAGGGAGAAGGGGCGAGCAATGAGCATTGAGCAAGTCTAGCCTGGAAGCCACTGAAGAGTGGCCAGCTTTTGGTTTTGTTTGGTTTTGTGCTTTCTGTGAGAAAAAGTAAAATGTCTGCTGTAACCATGTCTCCTACCTCCAGCGTCCTTCATCCTCCCGGGGTAGCACAGGGCGTGCTACACTGCCGTTAAACGGTCATTCAATATGACAAATATCTTTCCTTGAATGCTAAACAGTGTATTTGTAGAGTATCTTTATTTACATTATCACAGTTAACCATCTTAGTTCACATAGCTTTAAAATACCATGGAAAGCCTTGAAAATTAGTAAAGTGGAGCTCAGTTTGCTGCAGTAAAAGAACACGAAAGATGCTGTATGCTTCATTTCCCATGAGTCTGTGCGCAAGGACGTAAAGACGTACTGGATTGATATATATATATATATACACACACACACACACACACATATATATATATATATATATATATATATATATATATATATATATAAACCCCCATTTCCAAAAAAAGTTGGGACAGGGGCAACAAAATACTGGTAAAGTTATGTAATGCTAAAAAAACACCTGGTGGTTAATTGCATAACTTAATAGGTAGTTAATTGCATTCATTTATGCATAAATGAATAACAGGTCAGTAACATGATTGGATATAAAAAGAACATCCCAGAGAGGCTGCGTCTTTCAGAAGTAAAGATGAGGAGGGGTTCACCACTCTTTGAAACACTGCACGATCAAATAGTGCAACAATTCAAGAATAACGTTTCTCAATGTAAAAGAGCAAAAAACTTGAGGATTTCATCATCTACAGTACATAATATCATTAAAAGATTCAGAGAATCTGGAGAAATCTCTGTATGCAAGGGACAAGGCCAAAAACCAATACTGGCTTGTCGCGATCTTTGGGCCCTCAGAAGGCACTGCATTAAAAATAGACATGATTCTGTAGTGGAAATCATTGCTTGGGCTCAGTTAATTGCTGCCTCTACAAATGCTAGTTAAACCCCTAAAATGCAAAGAAGAAACCATACATAAACAGTAACCAGAAACACTGATGCTGTCTCTGGGCCCAGGCTCATTTAAAATGGACTGAGAGGAAGTGGAAAAGTGTTCTGTGGTCTGACAAATCAACATTTGAATTTTGTTGGAAATCATGGACACTGTGTCCTCTGGGCTAAAGACCATCAGACTTGTTATCAGCACACAGTTCAAAAGCTAGTATTCATGATGGTATAGGGGTGCATTAGTGCACATGGCATGGGTGACATGCACATCTGTGAAGGCACCATTAATGCTGAATGATATATACATGCTTTGGCAACATATGCTGCCATCCAGATGACATCTTTTTGAGGAAAGGCCTTGATTATTTCAGCGAGACAATGTCAAAACACATTCTGCATGCATTACAGCAGCATGGCTCTGTAGTAAGAGAGTCCAGGTGCTAAACTGACCTGCCTGCAGTCCAGACCTGTCGCCTACTCATAACATTTGGCACATTATGAAATGAAAAATACAACAAAGGAGACCCCGAACTGCTGAGCAGCTGAAATCCTATGTTAAGTAAGAATGGGAAAACATGAAACACAGTGGTAAACATGCCCCCCATCCCAACTTTTTTGGAATGTGTTGTTGGCATAAAATTAAAAATGGGCATACATTTTTCAAAAAACAATAACATATCAGTTTCAACATTTCATATGTGGTTTTGTAGTATTTCCCTTTAAAATTATGGTTTACATGATTCGCACATCATTGCATTCTATTTTTATGTTTCTCAACTTTTTTGGAAATAGGGCTGTATATATACACTGATCAGGCATAACATTATGACCACCTCCTTGTTTCTACGCTCATTGTCAATATTATCAGCTCCACTTACTCTATAGGTGCACTTTGTAGTTCTACAATTACAGACTGTAGTCCATCTGTTTCTCTGTATACTTTGTTAGCCCCCTTTTACCCTGTTGTTCAGTGGTCAGGACCCCCATAGACCCTCACAGAGCAGGTACTATTTGGGTGGTGGATCATTCTCAGCACTGCAGTAACACTGATGTGGTGGTGGTTTGTTAGTGTGTGTAGCGCTGGTCTGAGTGGATCAGACACAGCAGTGCTGCTGGAGTTTTTAAACACCTCAGTGTCACTGCTGGACTGAGAATAGTCCACCAACCAAAAATATCCAGCCAACAGCATCCTCTGGGCAGCATCCTGTGACCACTGATGAAGGACTAGAGGATGACCAGCACAAACCGTGCAGCAGCAGATGAGCTATCGTCTCTGACTTTACATCTACAAGGTGGACTGACAAGGTAGGAGTGTCTAATAGAGTGGACAGTGAGTGGACACAGTGTTTAAAAACTCCAGCAGGACTGCTGTGTCTGTGTCTGAGCCACTTGTACCAGCACAACACACACTAACACACTGCCACCACGTCTGTGTTACTGCAGTGCTGAGAATGATCCACCACCCAAATAGTATCTGCTCTGTGAGGGTCCATGGGGTCCTGACCACTGAAGAACAAGGTAAAAGGGGGCTAACAAAGTTTCCAGAGAAACAGATGGACAACAATCTGTAATTGTATAACTACAAAGTGCACCGATATAGGAAGCGGAGCTGATAAAATAGACAATGAGCGTAGAAACAAGGAGGTGGTCATAATGTTATGCCTGATCGGTGTGTGTGTGTGTGTGTGTGTGTGTGTATATATATATATATACATATATATATATATATATATATATATATATATACATATACACACATATACACACACAAACACACACACACTATTGTATATATATATATAGATATATATATATATGCCCTGCTCAGAGACAAACTCCACTCTGACTCTCTGAATCTCACCGCGCCCTGCTCAGAGACAAACTCCACTCTGACTCTCTGAATCTCACCGCGCCCTGCTCAGAGACAAACTCCACTCTGACTCTCTGAATCATACTGCGCCCTGCTCAGAGACAAACTCCACTCGGACTCTCTGAATCATACTGCGCCCTGCTCAGAGACAAACTCCACTCTGACTCTCTGAATCTCACCGCGCCCTGCTCAGAGACAAACTCCACTCTGACTCTCTGAATCATACTGCGCCCTGCTCAGAGACAAACTCCACTCGGACTCTCTGAATCATACTGCGCCCTGCTCAGAGACAAACTCCACTCTGACTCTCTGAATCTTACCGCGCCCTGCTCAGAGACAAACTCCACTCTGACTCTCTGAATCTCACCGCGCCCTGCTCAGAGACAAACTCCACTCTGACTCTCTGAATCTCACCGCGCCCTGCTCAGAGACAAACTCCACTCGGACTCTCTGAATCACACCGCGCCCTGCTCAGAGACAAACTCCACTCGGACTCTCTGAATCATACCGCGCCCTGCTCAGAGACAAACTCCACTCTGACTCTCTGAATCACACCACGCCCTGCTCAGAGACAAACTCCACTCGGACTCTCTGAATCATACCGCGCCCTGCTCAGAGACAAACTCCACTCTGTGTCTCTGAATCACACCGCGCCCTGCTCAGAGACAAACTCCACTCGGACTCTCTGAATCATACCGCGCCCTGCTCAGAGACAAACTCCACTCTGACTCTCTGAATCTCACCGCGCCCTGCTCAGAGACAAACTCCACTCGGACTCTCTGAATCATACCGCGCCCTGCTCAGAGACAAACTCCACTCGGACTCTCTGAATCATACCGCGCCCTGCTCAGAGACAAACTCCACTCTGTGTCTCTGAATCACACCGCGCCCTGCTCAGAGACAAACTCCACTCTGACTCTCTGAATCATACTGCGCCCTGCTCAGAGACAAACTCCACTCTGACTCTCTGAATCACACCACGCCCTGCTCAGAGACAAACTCCACTCTGACTCTCTGAATCACACCGCGCCCTGCTCAGAGACAAACTCCACTCTGTGTCTCTGAATCACACCGCGCCCTGCTCAGAGACAAACTCCACTCTGACTCTCTGAATCATACTGCGCCCTGCTCAGAGACAAACTCCACTCTGACTCTCTGAATCTTACCGCGCCCTGCTCAGAGACAAACTCCACTCGGACTCTCTGAATCATACCGCGCCCTGCTCAGAGACAAACTCCACTCTGACTCTCTGAATCATACCGCGCCCTGCTCAGAGACAAACTCCACTCTGTGTCTCTGAATCACACCGCGCCCTGCTCAGAGACAAACTCCACTCGGACTCTCTGAATCATACCGCGCCCTGCTCAGAGACAAACTCCACTCTGTGTCTCTGAATCATACCGCGCCCTGCTCAGAGACAAACTCCACTCTGTGTCTCTGAATCACACCGCGCCCTGCTCAGAGACAAACTCCACTCTGTGTCTCTGAATCATACTGCGCCCTGCTCAGAGACAAACTCCACTCTGTGTCTCTGAATCACACCGCGCCCTGCTCAGAGACAAACTCCACTCTGTGTCTCTGAATCTCACCGCGCCCTGCTCAGAGACAAACTCCACTCGGACTCTCTGAATCATACTGCGCCCTGCTCAGAGACAAACTCCACTCTGACTCTCTGAATCATACTGCGCCCTGCTCAGAGACAAACTCCACTCTGACTCTCTGAATCTTACCGCGCCCTGCTCAGAGACAAACTCCACTCGGACTCTCTGAATCATACCGCGCCCTGCTCAGAGACAAACTCCACTCTGACTCTCTGAATCATACCGCGCCCTGCTCAGAGACAAACTCCACTCTGTGTCTCTGAATCACACCACGCCCTGCTCAGAGACAAACTCCACTCGGACTCTCTGAATCATACCGCGCCCTGCTCAGAGACAAACTCCACTCTGTGTCTCTGAATCACACCGCGCCCTGACTTAGAAACAAACTCCACTCTGACTCTCTGAATCACACCACGCCCTGCTCAGAGACAAACTCCACTCTGTGTCTCTGAATCATACTGCGCCCTGCTCAGAGACAAACTCCACTCTGTGTCAGGCAGGCAAGTATGCAGTGGTTTTATCAAATTGCTTAAAAGTTCAAAATAACCAAAAAGGTGGGTTTCTAAAATGCAGATTCCAAATGTACAAAGTTTTCAAAATGACAAATGAAGAGGTTAAGCAGTAAGCTTTAAACAATAAGCATAAGTGGTTTAAAAAAAAACAAAAAAAACCTTTGTTCCCAACGTCTTACATGTCTAAGCTATGAGGCTGTACCTGGGCCTAAGGAAGATGCCTTAACTGGTGGTGTGTCATGTGGCAAGTGTCAAAATAAGAGTCTCAAGTGAAAAGCCATTAAATCTAAATCAAAATAAACGTCTCTCAAGGAAAATAAATGTAAACTCAAATCTGGCTCCTACATCTGCGAATCATACTGTGCCCTGCTCAGAGACAACCTCCACTCGGTCTCTCTGAATCTTACTGTGCCCTGCTCAGAGACAACCTCCACTCGGTCTCTCTGAATCTTACTGTGCCCTGCTCAGAGACAAACTCCACTCTCACTCTCTGAATCATACTGTGCCCTGCTTAGACACGAACTCCACTCTGACTCTCTGAATCATACTGCGCCCTGCTCAGAGACACGAACTCCACTCTGTGTCTCTGAATCATACTGTGCCCTGCTTAGACACGAACTCCACTCTGTGTCTCTGAATCATACTGTGCCCTGCTTAGACACAAACTCCACTCTGACTCTCTGAATCTTACTGTGCCCTGCTTAGAGACAAACTCCACTCTGACTCTCTGAATCATACTGTGCCCTGCTCAGAGACAAACTCCACTCTGACTCTCTGAATCTTACTGTGCCCTGCTTAGAGACAAACTCCACTCTGACTCTCTGAATCATACTGACTCTCTCACTCTGAACTGGGGAGTTCTTAAACTGAGAAACTCAGCCTGTGTGCGCAGGCCTACTATACATTCACATGACCGAGCCAACGTTCAATTAACAAGAGCTTCTTATGGAGTCCCCAACTCTGCATAACACAGCTAATAAAGCACCATCAAAAGTATTAGTTATAGCAGGCCAATCTTAATTCACACCATTTTAACAGAGATACAGTAGAATTTGGATTAAATGTAATGATTAATGATTATTCTCTTGTATTTAGAATTTTTCATGTTAAAACAGCATTTAAATTGGAAGGTCTCTCTCTCACTCACACACACACACACACAATGCATCGTGGTCATTGCAGATTTTCTGCAGAGCTGAATAAACTACAGTAATTTAGTAATTTAGAAACTACAGCTTTGAGGATTTGCGAACCAAACTGCAAATAAGAAGAAGATTCATGTTGTCTAATTGTAAGATTATTTTTGAATTCTGAATCATTCCAATGGAAGTACACATGAACATTTGATTTTTTTCGTTTGTTCCCTTTTTTACAGATTAGTCATGTAAACTAATAAAGCCATCTACTTTGACACTGCAGCATCATTTAAGGAGGAAAGGGAAAAATAAATAAGGAGTATCGATTACAGCTTTGAGTGCTATGGAGGTTTTTATAGAGTTAAATAGAATAAAGAAGAAAATGCTTATGATGTCTTTTTTCGTATTTTCAGTGTAATCTGTGAATTTTGTGGTATTTCAAGTTTCAATTTTAGTTTATTTTTGAAGGACCTATAGAAAAAAACAAGAAAAACCTGTAGACACTATAGCTATTACTCTACCTAAACCAGGTGCACTGGGCCAGAAAATGTGTGAGATGTTTATTGTCAGCAGATTAAATGTGATGTTTCACTGTATTTGTTAATTAAGTGATTACCTTCACCTGCAATATTTGCATTAGTGATTAGTGCTGCCAGGACATTTGGAGCCTGAATTTCTTCATTCCTTCCACAAACTTTATTCCTGTATATCCCTGAGGAGAGGAAGTGTTGATGTTACAATAGTAAAAACTGTATGTGGGTGTGGACAGGACAGTATGTTTGAGATGTTTCTTGCATTCATACTAATCATGGTGAATTCTGCATTCCAGAGCAATACTGAAAGATTTTCTTTAGGGAAAAATCTTGCACTCAAACTGTTGTGCAATTCAGCAGCTTAATCATCCCCTATTTTTCACCTTAGATACCACAGGGATTCAGCGATTTCTCTATGCACTGCCCCGGTTCTTCAGATGCTGTTGCTGGGTTGGACCAGGTATGCTCAGCTTTCATCCACCTAAGGCTCCTGTAGACCTTTGGGAGAAAGTCTACTGAAATAACACAGTGATATTTAAACTATGGTCAATATCCTCAGTCTCAAGAGCAATGTGCTATTCTCTGTGTGTTAACAGGTGAACGTAAGATCAGCCTTTCTGTACAGGAAACTTCACCAGCATCTTCTTACCAGAGTTCTGTAAGGCCCTATTTTGAGGAGGAAGAATCCACATGGCATCCGAATAGCATCGTTTCAGCTTGATGACCCCTGGTTATGCTTCATTACACAGGCACTTTACAAAACTTGCCTTAGCTTCAATGAGTGCTACATCTAATGAAGATATCTCTAGGACTTTGACAATGACTAATTTTAAAAAGTAAATCAGGATAAAATCATTTATAAATATTGATGTTTTCATAATTTTAAACCATAGGTATTTTACAGGTATATATTCTTTAAAATTAAAGCAGTTCCCAGTTGTGCCAAAGGGAGCAACAAAAAGCTTTAAGGCCTTTTCACACCAAGTTTTGAACACATACACATTAGCACCAATATCATCTTTCAGCTCAAAGCACATGGTTGCTCAGGGTTTATTTGCTCTGAGCTAAGCAGAGCATCAAAGTCCTCCACACACAGCGCTGCTGTAGGTCTGTTTCTTGTGAGAGTCGGTTAAATTCTCTGAAATGTTGAACTTTTACCTTGTTACTGTGTTTAAGTCTGAGTCGCACTGGCTAAGAGAAAAAAGATAACTTGGTCACCATTACCACTTAAAGGAGTAAAAGAATAACTTGATATGAAAGTTTCAAAATGGGTTAAAATCCATAAACATCTACTTGGTGTGGAAAGACCTCATGAGGACTAAACATTAAACTGAAATTAACAATGAAAATAGTATTCCAGCCCTAGAACTTTGTGAAATTGTATGAAACTCTGAAACAACAAGTTCTCACTCCACATCACCACCTCATACTGAGCTTTGCAGCCACAGACTTCATTACTGGCATATGTGCCTTTATCTTGAATTGTGTGAAACCTACTCTGTCATCTAAGGTTTAAAAAAGTACTGTACTACTGCTGAAATCTAAGAGACTGTATATCTTGTTTATCTTTTATACCTTTTTTAAAGTCAAAAATCAGTTTCAAAATATTTTTAGTTTTTCAAAAAAAAAAAATTAAATCTACAAAACTTTTAAAAATTGCAAATATAATTGAACTTTTATTCTGCTCCCATTATCACTACTGAGCACACACTTATCTGGTGCTCTTTGTGCCATTTTTGAAAATGTTGTTTGCTCTTCAAAAGGAAATTGTACAAAAACCCAAACTGTGAATAAACTTTAAACATAATCCATGTTGTGGTGAATGTTTGTGCACTATTATTGTCTTCCTCTTTATGTCAGTTTCTATGTACTGCAAATGAGGCATAATATCAGTCTCTTTTCATAACTATATTTGTGTCCCCCCACGACCCAGGAGGACACATGGCTTAGATAGTGTGTGTGTGTCTGTGTGTATTTGTGTCTGTCAGTCATTTTTGGATTTTTGGATTAGCTTTTGAGAAAAATGCTGGAAAAATAGGAGGTTTTGACTTCGTAACAGAATTTTAGATACACTACCAGTAACCACATAAATTCACTAGTTTTGAGCTTTAACTGATTTATGAAAACTTTCACAGAGTTTGTTATATTTGATTGGGTTATACAGAACTTTCATTTTCACAAACAGAGTACAGTATATTTGATTAACATCTGCACTCTCAGAAATAAAGGTATGAAACTGTCTCTGGGGCAGTACCGCTCTCGTCACTGGGGTGGTACCCACAAGGTACACACACGCCGTCTCATCTCCAGACTTTTTATTTTATTGTTCTGTTTTAAAACATTAGGTTATGAAAAGGTACAAATATGTACTTTTCACCTGGGAAAAACTTATTTAAGGTTCACAATTGGACCTTAAAACCGCTGTTGTACCTTTGAGGACACATTTACATTGTTTGTACCTTGATGAGTGAAAAATGTACTGGCACAGCACCTTTATTTCTAACAGTTTCTACAGCTCTATTCACAATTATAAACCAAATTCAATTGCTTCAGGCATTTCCTGATTTGTGAAAGCTTAGCAGTTAATTCCTAAAACAAGTGAATTTACCCGGTTACTGGTAGTGTATCTGACACACTGTTCCAAAGTCAGAACTTTGACAGACACAAACATAGTTGTGAAAATTTTCACAGACCAGGTGAATTAATTTGAGTTATGAATAACCTGCAAACCTACAAAGTAAAACAGGCTTATATTTCACATACTTTCACTGTCCTTACTTTTTCTTAACCAGCTGTGAGGACACAGAAATCCAGGCCTCCGTAGTTCCAGCAGAGGTTTTTTAACGTGTCTCCATCCATGACATTTAATGTAGAAACGGGGCCAGTCTGATCATGCTGTTGCCACTCAGGGGAGGAGCCACGCATCACAGACCTCACCAAACAAATGGGCATATAATATTCATTATGTTGCATTTTTAGGATAACGAGTGTTGATTTTTTTCTGTGAGCACTGTCACTGTATTATACCCAATCTAAATCTAAATCTGCCAAGCTATGCATTAATTCCTCAGCTCTCAAATCACTGCTTAGCAACCGTTGCTATGTGTCATTGCCCCAGTCCCAATTTTCAGCACCTGTCTTGATCACAACTAGCATAAGACACTGGTCCTCTGAACATTTAAAGGCTTTTATGATATTCAGTGTTGCAAAAGTGATGAGACTATACTGAGCAGTGACTGGTTCTCAGCTGACCTCATAAAAGCTGTGGGTTGGCCTCAGACTTAACCTCACACAATATTTACCTCTGAACATGAGCAGCCTTTACTTGGTGAGATGTTCAGGTATGCAGCACACGTAATAGGCCTATAGACTAACATATGAGCTCGCTAATATACAAATGTAAGAGTTTATAAGTGTAATTAACAGATTATACTTCTAAAATGCAACCTCTATCATTTTATATTTAGACTACTGGTAACGTTGCTAGCTAGATCAGCATGACCTGGCCTAGCTAGTTCCAGTAGCTGCTCAGTTTAGTCTAGTTAGGTTATATTATGATGAGAGATTAAAGTTGCATTGTTGTCCACTCACAATAACATATTACAACCAGCATGAGAAAGTCTACTGTTAGCTAGTGTATTATGGCACAGCATCATGCAGTGAAGGTGAGGAAGAGAGAGAGAGAGAGAGAGAGAGAGAGAGAGAGAGAGAGAGAGAGAGAGAGAAAGAGAGAGAGAGAGAGAGGTAAATGAAATAAAATCAGTGTGAAACTATAACCTGATTTAGTGTTGTATTTAGTAGTTTTTAACATATTTTCAGCTGAAAATAAACATGTAACTGTTGAATGATTAATTAAATAAACTTAAACAGGGTAACTGGAGTCAAATCAGTTTATGAAGCAGTAATAGCAGGTCATGGAAGAATGGAGGGACAGGAGCAAATAACAAAAAAGGGTGCATGACAAATATGGATGGTTAAAAGCAAACTGAGAGAAACGGACAGTTGGTGTAGTGCTCATATTTAGCAGTTAGGTAATTCACTAAGCGCTTTAGGTCACTTTTGCTAAATGTTGCAAAAACATCTCACTAAAATGTTGATCCTGGTTACGGTCTTGAGTGTGTACTGCTTTACGGAGTTACAGCCCACAGAAGTCTGAGTGGCTAACCGCAAGCCCATACCTTTACTGTCTGGACCGCCCACAAACTTTCGCACACTCACTGCAGCGCTCTGCATCTCTGAAGTTAGAGGTTCACATATTTGCACCTCACTCAGCCCGCGAGCGCAGCCCTGCTTCAAATTCATACAGCGGGTAGAGAAGCAGTGCCGGGACAGCGGTGAGTCACTGACACTGCGCTTTACTTTAATTACCATTTTATTCACGAAGAGCGTCTTATGGAGTCACTAAACCTGGATAACACAGGTAATAAAACACCATTAAACGTATTAGTTATAGCGGGCTAATCTTAATTCACACCTTTTGAATAGAGATAACGGTAGCCGGGAATTTGAGCCTGTAACAGTGAGTAAAAGCAGAGTGAAACCAGTTTCTACTTATGGTGGATGTTCTTATGGTGGATGAGGCACTTTCAGTTTACAGTAGTGTTTATTGGACTGATTATTCTCATGCATTTAGGATTTTAGTTGATCTGTTAAACAACTTTTCTTGTTAAAATAGCGTTAAATCGGAATCTCTCTCTCTGTCTCTCTCTGTCTCTCTCTCTCTCTCTCTGTCTCTCTCTCTGTCTCTGTCTCTCTGTCTGTCTCTCTCTCTGTCTGTCTCTCTTTCTCTCTGTCTCTCTCTCTGTCTCTCTCTGTCTGTCTCTCTCTGTGTCTCTCTCTCTCTGTCTCTCTCTCTCTCTCTCTCTCTCTCTCTCTCTCTCTCTCTCTGTCTTTCTCTCTCTCTCTCTCTCTCTCTCTGTCTTTCTCTCTCTGCACACTGCAGTTTTTCTGGCGTATCTGCTTAGAGCAAAAAAGCAGAATGTGTTAGAGACATTTTGTCTTATTGTAATTTGTCTAATTGTGATTTTTAAAATGGCTTTTTTCTGAATTTCTGAATTCTCAGTAGTTCCTGGAAAAGGACACGTTGGGCAGTCACTAGCTTTAGTTTGTTTCCGTTTTTTTTGCACAGATTAGCGAACCAAACAGAGCCATCTACTGTTGAACAGCAGCTTTGAGTGTAGGGGTCGTTTTTACACAGTTATATAGATTTAAAAAGAACCTGCTTCTAACCACTTCCTCAGTGTAATCTGAGATGTTTGTGGCTTTATGACTGATTTATCAATAGTCATTTTTAAAGTTTTCATCTATTTATAAATGACCTGCAGAAAAAAAGAAAAACCTGTAGACACAATAACTTTCACTGTAGCTAAAATACAAAAATGTGTTCCATGAGAAAAATGAAATGATTCTTTCACTCAATACAAAGTTGTGCAAATGATTCTTTCACTCAATACAAAGTTGTGCAAAATAGTTTAATGCACTATACAGCCTACCTTCTCTTGCTTACTTATTTTCTAAATTCTGAGAGCTCATCTAATCTCAGTCAGTACTAATTGTAGATCAGCGCTAAGTAAGCTGAGCTGCCACACTGTAAAAAGTGGCTCGTCAGATCTACTTAAATATTTAATTCATGTAGTAACAAGTAAATTAACTAGTTTTATTCAACCTGAATAAATAATCTGAATGAACGATTCTTTCAATTAATGTAGTTTTTTTAAGTCAAATAAAACTAGTTCAATTGCTTGTTATCACATGAAGTAATTTTTTAGGTAGATCTGATGAGTCACTTTTTACAGTGCTTGGCCACACCAGCTGAGTGTGGTTTTCGACACTTCAGACCACTTCAGCATTCTGGGATGAACTGTCAATATTGGCAAGACGGTCCAGAGCAGTATTATGTTGTTTATAGCATTCTTGTCAAAAATGTTCTGCAATACAGTATGAATTTGTAGAATTATCCACCTAGTTTAGCTTTTATTGGAAGAAACTGAGTTAATTGAATGACTAGAGTTGTG